TTTTAGTGATTAGCGAGTCGATGTCAGTGCCGCCATCGTCCAGGTCATCTAGATCCAAATCCTCCCTTGAGTAGATACTGGTGTTACTGATGGGTCGCTGGTTGTTGTCTCCTTTTCCAGCCGTTCTGGTCCGTCTTGGAGGCGCCTCGGAGTTGACAGGGTACTCCACTTTCTTGCCAGCAAAATGGACGTCGCCGTACCTGAAGCTGCCAGAGCTTGGCAACTGCCTCTGTTTGCTCGGTTCAAGGCTTACGCCACACGTGGGATTGGACAGAGCCAATCCATTGGGCTTCCTCGGTTCTGGCTCGGCTTTTAAAGGGTTGTCAGTGGAGCTCTCGTTGGGCGGCAAGCAAGGTTTGCGAGACCCGTAAAGCCCACAAGTCAGAATGCAGCAAAGCAGAGCTTTGCAACCACTCCAGCCAAGAGAGGCGCATGAGCCGCAGGCTTGCGTACCTTGAGGAGAGTCGGCGGAGCCTGGGATGAAGCCCAGGGTTTCTGAGCCTCGTCCATTGGCGTAATGAGAATGGGTTTTACGGGGGAACTGCAAGTCTATGCTACGAGGTTGCTCGATGTAGTTCTCCTTGTAGGTCTCCTGACTGGTGCTGCTGTCCTTGGAGTAAGTTCGGCTCTGCCTGTAGCCATCAGCCCTAGAGCGGCTTGAGCTATGAGGACGCGTCTTGTGATGTGTTCCTGTGCTGTGGCCAGGCATAACTCACCACATTCAGGACCTGCAGGAACATGGGATGGACATTAATGCATCAGGATTTAAAGAGCTGAAATAGTTCACAAGTTCAAGCATTGCTTCTTAGGCACGTTTCACACACCTAACCTGAACAGAGCCAATATTAACATTAACGTTCACACTGCACACATAAACAAAGCAGCACAATCCTGTGTACCTGCATGTAGAGAAGTGCTGAGCCTATCTTTGCAGAACGTTGCATGCATGATTAAATTACAGCATTATTTGCAATTTAGGCTTTTATGGAGCAACATAAAATGACAATTAAAAGACGCCTGTCAAGTTTGAAACAAGTTGTATGCGCAGTGACAGACAGACAAACAGCACTTAATACTTAAGTAAATCTGATTGAGACAAGGCAATATAAGCAGTTTGAGACAACACTTTAGATTTTGCCATTTAATTGCGATGTAGATGTTAATATGGTCTTCTTATGTGGTTTATAGTTATCAATCAAGTTCTCCTAACCATTTTATCATTTATGGCATACATATTAAAGTAAATACATATGTATGCTGTTGCAATTACTCTGTTGATGAAAGATGGCCTTGTTATATTAAAAATAAAAAAAAAAGCCCAAAAAATTATTTTAAGCAATGACTGCTAAGAAAAATTACCAATGTTTTTTAGTGAATATACATAAACGTCAAAGTGTTAAACAGGCCTCAGATTTCTCATTTATTGCACAATGACTTCCTCAAGCCTGGAGATATAACAAAAAAACAGCACAACCGTGCAATGATGATGGTGAAATCAAATAATGTAATGGACTATTAAACAGTCGTGGCCTAATGGTTAGAGATTCGAACTTGTAACCCAAAGGTTGTGGGTTCGAGTCTTGTGCACTTGGATGGGTTAAATGCAGAGCACTAATTCCAAGTATGGGACACCACACTTGGCTACACATCACACTTTAATCATCATCATTGCACCAATATACCACTGACCATATTTTGCTCGACTGGGTCGAAATAACATATAGTGGACACCTTCATTCTGTGTCTACATGTGTTGTGCTCCAAAGGCATTTCAAACATGTCAACAGTGAGCTGATCTGTATCTAGATAGCATAGAAGGGTTATTTATGCAAGCCTGGAAAATGCGAACATTTGGTGCGGTTATATCAGCACAACCATATCCGGATCTTAATATTACACATTAAAAAATATAAGCTGCATCTTCTGTAGCTCTTGTTACACTCCTAAAAATAAAGGTTCCAAAAGTGGGTTTTCAAATTGGGTTGGCCAATTTGGGTTCTCCAAAGAACCTTTTTCCACTATAAAGAACCTTTTGTGCATTGGAAAGGTTCCATGGATGTTAAAGGTTCTTCGTGGAACCAGATATGCCAATAAATAACCTTTATTTTTAAGAGTGCAGCATGTTTAAAATTAGTAAAGAGGGTTTTCTTTGGTGGGCAGGAATTATTCGATCATCAAGTTATTCATTTTTACATGTGTTTTTAAATACACTCCCTTGAGAGCTTTCATACAGTCAGTGTTTGACTCAAGGATTGCGTTCTTTGTCTAGAATCATACGTTTTCGATGAATCCGGTCACAAATTCTCAGAAAGCAACACGATGTCATCCATACTGTGAATATCACCCGATATAGATAAGTATTGTCATTTGTCAACAACCAACTGATAGTTTGAGGACATTCTTGTGTATCAAGTGGATGAGAAGGAAATACCCAGAATACATCCGTAGAAAGGACTGGTTATTCATTTCTGGTCATTATCAGTGTACAGTCAGACGTAAAGCAGGCCTGTAAAGTGCACTCCGGACAGTCCAAAAAACTTTATTTGGACTATTTAGCAGATGGAACATATGCATTGCCTGTATTGGCAAAATGCAGTTTGTCTGTCCAAACAATATTAAATGCTTAATTAGTCTGTTTTAACAGCCTCTAACTGTACTCGTCTGAATGCCATGGCTGTACCAGAATTTATGGACTTAACAGAATTATTTATGGCTACAATCCTTTGGAAAGTCCTAATGCAAGCGGACAAACGAGCACGCATCCACCAGGATCCATTGATTGCGAGGGTTCTAGTGACTCGTTCGCAGAGCAGATGGTTTGTCAAGGTGTCACTTACCGCATAGGCTCGGATGAAATCTTCAGATGTTTGGAACGCAACTTCTAGCCGTTCAAGATCGCGGAAGTAGCCCGAGTGTGAAGTATGCTCCCTTTGAAGCGTTATAACCTCCACTTCATCGATCTTTGTTTTGATTCACTGACTGAAAATGGGTCAAACGTGTCGATTTCGTCGCGCAACACGCGCTTTCAGATTCGGTTCATATTAAAGCTTTGCTCGGTGAGATTGGTTCCTTCGCCACGCCTTGCCGTACTTTACCTGCGGCTACAGGTAAATCCACCGCCCACTTGCAGGTAAGCAGTGACGTCAGGTCCTTGAAACGGATGTGTTGCTTAAACCTCTGAAATACCTTTTTGTTCGTTTACTTTTGCTTTCCTATGAATCAAATTAAACATGCATATAATATTGCCAGTGTTTGTGGAAAACGTGTCATTCCTGTTTATGGCTACAAACCAAATGTGAGGTTTTTGTCATGCACCAAACTCAAAAACAATTTTAACAGGTTCACAATTTTAAGAGGTTCTCTTGGTCTAACATCAGTGATTCTCATTTGCATGTGCAGTGATTAAGAATATCTAGATATATTTTTTTTACAATAAGAAAATAAGAAAATGTGAGTACAGTCCATTTAAATAGAGAAATATGGATGCGGTGTCAAGAATGTTAGCATATGAGATGGACAACATATTCAGGGTTGAAAAAGTACTGAGTTAAATGTAATGTGCAAAAAACAACAACAACAACAGGATTCCCACAAAGAAAATCTGAGTACGGTCCTTTTAAATAGAGAAATATGGATGCGGTGTCAAGAATGTTAGCATATGAGATGGACAACATATTCAGGGTTGAAAAAGTACTGAGTTAAATGTAATGTGCAAAAAACAACAACAACAACAGGATTCCCACAATCATTGAAACCCTGAGAAACAATATCAGCGAATTCAATAAAATTGTGATTCTCAGGTCTGGCAAGTAATATAAATCTTAAAAAGTAATAGAAATTTTAAATATAACTGTTTCTACTTGCTCAGCGGTAAAGCATTTCTTTTTCTAGAAAATGATTTTTTTATTTTTTTAAAAATCCTTATCAAATGAATGAATGTATATGTAATGGGGAAAAAAGAAGTAGGAGCCCCAAATACAACATTTTATGCACATTTCTGAAAAGTATTTAGTATTCTCAGTGGAATGATGTAAATTGAATGATGCAAATGTCATTCCCGCACTACAGATTCACTCACACTGCTTCAGGTAGAAACAGAAGCATTTTAGATTTCCTTTAGCGGACTAGCTTTTAATGTTATAACTGTATATGCACACACACACCAGAGGTGGTTTTTCAAACATGCTGTAATATACTGCTTTGCCAAAAGCAGAGACACAGATTAATATGGGCTGTCTGGTCTTGATCAATTGCAGTCATTAGTTCCAAGCTCTATAAAGCACACATGCAGAGAGATTTGCTATGTGCTCGCAGGGAACATTACTCTCAAAATCCTTCATTGTGTCCCATTTTCCCCCAATACACCCCTTCATTTCCCTCCTTTCCTCAACCGTGGCGAAATATCAAGGACACAATCTGTAGCAGCGAATGCGGTGGGCCGCACCAAATAATGTGATGGAGAGGAGCGTTTCAATCTGGTGAACAGGTTATGAAATATACTGGAGACCGTAATTCAGTCAAATAGGGTTAGATACACATGAGAAGTCATTCAGTGCGCCTTTGAGTTTCCTTGTAACCCTTAGAAAATTTGGCAAGACAACAACGGACTGATAAATCAGATATTTTGAGCTCAAACCGGATTATAATCAACAGTTTTTGTCAGTAAATTTTGAGTTAATTTCAGCATATTGTGGCTTTTAGTCCACACTCTTACATATAAAGGTTCCAAAAGGGATTTTTCACAACAATGCCATAGAAGAACCATTTTTTGGTTCTCTAAAGAACCTTTCAGTGAACAGTTCTAAAAAGAAACATTTAATAATCTTAATAACCTTTTTTCACTGTAAAGAACCTTTTGTGGAATGGTGGAGGTTCTTCATGGAACCATTGAAGCCAATAAACAATCTTTATTTTTAAGAGTGCATGTCTGTTTAAACTACTGTAATCTTACACAATCACAAGTTCAACCTTTATATGCTTTTACAGTCTTTCTCGTTCTGTTTTTGTGTTGACTCTTCTTGCATTGGTGGATGTTTTCCAATTAAATTGCATATTGTATTAGCTTATATCATGCATTTATTGGCATTGCATCGGTTACCAGTCACACATCTCTCTAATTAATGGTATCTGCCAACCGCTAAATGTCTATTTAGAAAATGTCAAGCACACCACTTTGCTACAAACTGAAATATCAGGACATAATACCGCATCTACAAACATTTCTATAGAAATGACTTCATTGTACAGTTATAGTGTTACATCGGATGGGATCTGTGAGATACGGGCGTCAGTAGAGATGTGCGCCAAACGCTGGTCCATTTGAGGCCGACCCTGGTGACCGTGTGAAACGTGCCCCAGTCGTGGGTCAGAGTCGATCTCGTAACGGTGATGATACCCTTCCAGCACATTTTGACAGGCTTCATATATGTCTGTGATCCATTTCTTGATACCCTTTCGGTTGAGGTAGACAACAAAGAGAAAGACCATGCCTACGAATCCCAGCACTAATCCAAGGAACACATAGGAAGTTTGTAGGGACAAGTCGGTGATCTCTTCGTGCACTTCACCGTAACACCCCAACGCCTGCGCGCTAAGACCCCGCAAAGACACGTCACGCAGAGCAGCAGGGAACTCGCAATACAGCCTGTCCGCATCGCCCACCCTAACCTTTGAACTGTTTAGCCAGTTGGCAAGCTCTTGCGCTTCACATGTGCACACGTAAGGATTCTGACCCAACAGCAGACGCACCCCACTGAATCGCTCCAGCTCACGCAGACCCTCGTCGCTGATCGTTCTGAAGGCGTTTCCAGTCAAGTCCAGCTCTAGAAGTTGCTCGATACCAGAGAACGTGCTGTTGTAGATGGCCACCAGAGAGTTGTTGCGCAGATGCAGATGCTGCAGGTTCGGCAGAGGAGCGAACATCCCCGGGGGTAAGAGGACGAGGCTGTTGCCCGATAGATCGAGGCGAAGCAGGTTTGTAAGCTCTCCCCAGCGCAGGGCGGTGATGAGGTCGGTCAGAGACGAGTAGTTATAGAGCGACGAGCGCAGGCTGAGCTCCTGCAGCGGGCTGCCAGGCACGGAGAACGCCTCGGGGTGGATCAGAACCAGCTGGTTGTTGTTCAGGATTAGAGAACGCAGCGTGAGCAGAGAGGAGAACACATGCGATCCGATCTCCATAATGCTGGCAGAACAGAAAGAAAGTTTGAGGATTTTAAATGGTGAAATATACAAATCAGCAGGAGCACAACACTAAATCTATATTACTGTCGGAAGAGTAAAAATACCGATCGAAAGATAGACAGACAGACGGATAGATAGACAAACAGATGGATAGACAGGCAGATAGATAGACAGACAGACGATAAATTGATAGGTAGGTAGATAGATGGACGGACAGACGGAAAGACAGACAGTGGATGGATAGGCAGATAGACAAACAGGCAGACGATAGATAGATAGATAGATAGATAGATAGATAGATAGATAGATAGAT